ATAACGTCAGGTATTTTATTATTATAACGCATCAACTTCTAAATAAATAAATAAATAAATAAATAAATACATAAATACATAAATACACACGCACACACACAGCAGCTACAAAACTGTCAAATAGTTTATTAAGAATGTGTTACGTGCGTTAAAAAAATTAAAATATAAAAATAATTTTATATATATATATATATATATATACATATATGTATGCTGAGCTGTTAGTTGGCATCCACGGTATAATTGTGTCGTGTACGATGGAATATTTCTATAACGCATCGATGATGCCAGGTCACACATTTTCGTTTCTTTTCTTCATTTTTTATGTAGATGAGACCCGACCTTCCACATGTCGGCTAGAGATTGAACTCTGCAAGTAGCTCTGCATGCGGAGTCCGGATGCAATATTTTTTCCGGTATAAGTCCTGTCAAGTCGGAGTTCGAATCCCTACCACAATTGCCCTTAAGTGGGTGATACTTGAATTGTCAGACATATTAGAGGTGGCTAGAGGCTCGTGTATATATATTGAATGCCTTATTTATTGTCACCTATCACTAGGGGAGTAAATAAGTCAATCACGAGCGAGTCTAGGCTCAGCTCATGTTCGGCTTATTAAAAATATAACCGTTTGTGTTCGGCTTGCTTTTATTTCAAACACAAAAAAAAATTGTTTGTATTCGACACATTTGCTTAGTGAGTCAAACATGAGTTGTTTGCGAAAAGAGAACATTTTTTACAACCCTGGTCAAGCATTCAACAATTAGGGGCGTAAAACGATCCAAGTTTGAACAAGCCCATACTTGACTTTTTGAGAAAATATAACTGTTTATGTTTGACTAATTTATATATTAAGCTTAAAAAATTTGTTCGCGTTTAGCTCGTTTGACTTTCAAGCCGAACATGATCTATTTATGAACAATGAGTCATTTTGACAACCCTAGTCACACAGTCGTAGGAATGGTAATGGTAGGTCGAGATTTAAATCTTATTATTTATATTAAAATTTAATTTAAATAGAATATAATATATTTTTATTATTCCATTTTTAATTAATAGTTTTAATTGATTATAACTCTATGTAGTCTTGTAGCCAATTAAATTTTATAATTTAATTATTTCGATTCAAAACGGGCCGAACACGAATGAACAAAATTGTTCGTGTTGGGCTCATTTATATATCGAGCACAAAAAAAAAAATTATTAATGTTAGACTCATTTGCTTATCGAACGAATCAAAAAAGGGCTACTTCACGAGCAGAACACAGCCCTACCTATCAAATGTATGCGTTTGACTTAAAAAAAAGATGATAATTGCAATGTTTTTGGTGTGGCAATAAAAATTTGAGTGATAGGTATGTAAATATGAGTATTAAGGTGTTTGATATTAAAATAAACAAGAGTTATGTCGCATGTATGTAAAAAGCTCCTATTTTTTTTTTCTATACATCTTCTGTGATATGTTCAGGAAGTTTCACAGGTCAACTTCGAATTAACTCGCAGAGAAAAATGAGTTGGGATATTCTAAATAAATTTTCAAGATGAAGATGTATTTTTGTTTGTTGCAATATAACTTTATTGTGTTATCTAATAATATTTTGTCAAAAACTGCGGCATGCTATGCAATAATAAAGTTGTCAAAAACTACTTTTTGTTCGTGAACAGCTCGTGTTCGGTTCGCTAAACAAACGAGCCGAATACTAACATACTTTTTTAGCTGGAAATATAAACGAGCCAAACATGAATGATAATAATAAGTTCGAAGTAAGCTCAGCTCGTGTTTGGCTCATTTACACCCCTGCAGGAGTCCATACAGATAACTTTTCCCTCTAATTGTACTTACTCTTATGGCTCAAATACCAAAATAAAATAATAATAATAATAATAATAATAATAATTTATGTGAAAATTTTGTTTAAAATATTGATAAACTGCTGGAACTTTACTTCTTATAATTTATTAAGAAAATTAGATAGATAAATGTTAGAAGGCAGATTGAAAAGATACACGGCTTATAATCTTTGGTGGTCTAGGAATTACCTATGAAATGAAGTAACCCAGACAACCCAATTATACAAAAAATAAATACATTTTTATGTTATTTTATTTGGTTTGTTTGGGGCAGCTTATAGGTGCGGGCGGCGTTTTCAAAATGTCGTCATACCGTTTGGTTCGCGCGTTTCGCCAGCTTATCCGAAATTGCGTTTGGGTTTTTACACTAAACGCAGGCCGCGGGTCGACACCTGAGGCCGGCATGTAGGCCGCGTTTCAGGACAAACAGCTTAGTCTCACTTTTATGGTAGCTTGAAAAGTTCGCTTACCTTGAATTACCAACATAATTATACACAATAAGAAAATTTAATACATTTTTTATGTTATTTTATTTAGACTTACCACTACTTGGTATGCTGAAATCCCTTAGTAAATAAAGATAAAACATACTTGGAATAAAAAATCAACCCCTAAAAAATATAATATATAATATAAGTTATTTATTCTTACATAAGAGAGGCCTCAAAATGCATACATATTTAGCCATATTGTGAATATCATTAAATCACTAATAAGCTCTACTTTTATAAATCAACCCTAAAAAAATATGATATAAGTTATCTATTTTTAAATAAGAGAGGCCTCAATAAACATACATATTTAGCCATGTTTTGAATATGCATTAAATCACTAATAAACTCTACTTTTATATATCATCTAGAAGATATAGAGCGAATAAGTTTTTAAGGAAAACTACCAAATGATAGATTAAAATTTTCACAAAATCTTTCCTTAAATTACTTTTTAAATTGATTATCAATTTATTATAATTTTTATAAATTATTTATCCCATGAGTCCTATGACTCATGCACCACCCACTTTGTATGACATATTCATTCCTTCTAGAACAATCAATGAAATGACTAGTGGTTTTGGGTAAATTTTATCTCATTCTAACACTTTATTTGATTGACTTAAATAATTCTCAAGTCATAAGAGAATATATTAAAGACACTTACCAAAATGATAATTGTTTTTTTGACAGCGATGCTTCCATTCTCAATTTTTAGGGTACACCTATCAAAATTATGATAGATTCTTCCGACCCAAAAAGAACTCAGAGAGAAGTCCCAAGTCATGGAGCCAATAATAAATGTTGACATAATTTCAATAAACGATGTTTCGAAATTAACTTTAGAAGTGGCAAACTACTTTCACCTCGCAAAACGCTTCTAGAGAAAACTGCATAGACCATTAGTACTAATCAACCAGTCGTACCCCACTGGAGGCTCCTATCTAAAATATATTTTTGAAGGTTCGACCTAATTTCGATTATAATATGTTGTCCCATTTAATAAAGTGGCCAGCTAAACCCAGTATCTAAGATGTTCACATTTTGTTCAAAGAGATGAGAGAATCACTTACTAAAGCCTTCCTAGATCATAAAATTTGTTTGGCCTAACTAGCACATATTTCTTTAGATTGAAAAGTAAATTACTTCAATGAAGTTCTCAAATTAACTTTCTATTATAATCAATTACTTTATATCTCTATAAATGTGGGATGATTTTGATTTTCTAGAAATCATGTCAATCCGGGTGCATCAGACAATATAATTATTTTGAGAACACTTGTCAACCTTGATGTTGATACACACAAATTCTCTATCGACAAGATGTTGTCACATGAATTCAATGAGAAAGGTGAAAGTGCTTTAGGCTTTATAATCTCCCAATCAAAGTTATGGACATCCATTCTTAAGCCAAACTTTACATCGTTGATTTAAAGACATCCTTCAATGCACTTCTTGGGAGACCCTGGATTCATGAGCACCGAATGGTGCCCTCCTTTCTTCACCAATGAAATAAGTATTGGCATGAAAACATCAAATAGCGCATTAAGAGTGATCTACAACCATTCTAAGTCCATAAAGTTAGGTTTTATGAAGATGCAACATACAACTTACCAAAGAAGTAATCAGTCTTTTCAAAAGAGTTGCCCGCAACAAAAAAACTTTAAAAATAAAGAAAATAAAAATGTCGCAAAAGAAAAGATTGAAAAAGAAATGACAACAAAAAATGATGAATGAAAAATAAGAATTGTTATTTAAATATGGAGACAAACTCTAAGTTATAATTCAACGTTCCTACGCTTCTTCACCAAATTTAAGGGATTGAACTCTCGTGGTGCATATTGACATAAAGTCTAGCTTGGAGAATGAGTCTTGCACTATAAGTTATTTCGTTTTTCATAACAACAGTTTGGCTCGCCTCTAGGTTTGGCTGTGATGTATTGAATCAATAGTACTACTCTTTGCTGAATTAGGAAATGCATTGTCGACCAAAGATGGGATATATATATATATATATATATATATATATATATATATATATACAGATCAATTTTATATTTATTAATACCCAAACCAATAATTAAGACTTTTAATACTATGTTCTGAATGTCTGCTTTAAAGCTATAACTCTGTTTTCAATTTGTACATGTAAGCTTATCATATAAAATTTATTTGAGGCTACAACAAAGAATTGATTTTGAGATTTCTATAGCTCCGAGCTCAACTCTAATTGTGATCAATGCAAAAATTCATAGCCCTTTATTTATTTCACTTGTAATTTTGTATGTGCACTCAACAGGTTTATCCAAGACAGACAAGCTGTCATCATTTAAGTGGCAAGTTGGCATGTGTCAACTTGAGAATTGGGATCACAAATCACATTATTACATGCATGTTTGATTGTAAAATCACAAATTGTAATGTCACCTTTCGTTTCTTTTATTTTAATTGCAAATTTCAATTTTTGTACTTCCATCAAGCATTTAGATTTTTTATTTTGTAAGGCTTGTAATTAAAAATGCATAGAAATTTTTTTTTTCAATTTTCAACCTAGTTTGAGCCAAACAAGCTCAATTCAAAAAATCTAACTACTCCGAGCTTAATTGAACAAAACATAAATTTCATTGATATCGTTCAATACTTGAACAATTCGAGCCACATTCAAATAAATCGGACTAAACATCAACACAAATTTCACCAACAATTTCACTTGAGCCAAACACGAACATGAGCTCAACTCGTCCCTTATCCGGCCTCCCTTTACGCCCCAACTAATCACATCCCCAACCCTAGTTGATCCACAACCTCTCTCTTCTTACAGAACATCCTCAACGGCTTCGCCATCGGCATCAAAAGCCCTCCACTCCCTTCCGCCAGATCCACCTCCACACCAACCCCATCAGCATCCAACTCAAAACTCTGTATCAACGCCCCCAAAGCCAACCCCATAACCCGCATAGCTAACCCTTCTCCAGGACACCCCCGCCTTCCCATCCCAAAGAAGAAAACCTTCCCCTGTTTTCCCTTCATCCCTTCTCCTCCCTCCCATCTCTCCGGCCTGAATTCCTCCGCCTCATCCCACAGCGACGGATCTCTGTTAATCGCCCACAAGTTCACGAGCAACATCACACCTTTCGGCACGTGGAAACCCTCGATGGTGCAGTCTTCGTTGGATTCGTGCGCGGGGATGAGCGCCGCTACGGGGTGGAGGCGGAGGGCCTCTTTGATGACGGATCGGAGGTAGGGGAGATTGGGGAGGTCGGTTTCAGTTATCAGGCGGCGAGTGCCAATATGACAGTCGAGCTCTGCGCGGGTTTTTGAGAGGGCAGTCGGGTTGCGGAGGAGAAGTGCTAGCGCCCATTCAGTTGTTAGGGCTGACGTGTCTGTGCCCGCGGATAGGAGTACCTGCAAAAAAAATTAAGATTTACATATATACCACTCAATCTCTTATGTTTTACATAACTAACCCCTAAACAAACTTAAAATAATGATGTTTTTGATGGGATGTGAAATATGTTGTGGGTATAAATTGCGAAAGAATAAAATTTAAGCGTTAGTTATGTAAATTGATAGGAATTGGTCAGTATGCATGTAATGCTCCTAATTCTTTTATAATATATATATATATATATATATACATATTATAAAGCTGTAATTTGATTTTCTATGATAAAAGGGTCTCAGCATGTTGTATAACATAATACAATTTAATTCCATGGAGGAGTGTTTCGTTCATGGAATTAAGTACAAATAAATAGGGGAATATACATTGTTTGGTGTAGAATTGGAGATTTTTAGGGTGACAGACTAAAATCCCCAATTTAATCTTAGTTTTTAAGAACTAAAGCGAGAGTTGGCCTTCAAGGGAAGGGAAGTGGGAGCGCTGGAGTGAGAGTTAGAATCCTCCTAGCATTGCTACAAATTTAGGGTCTAAACCTAATATTAGCCAATTATTTTCTATAACACTTAATCAGAGTAGAGAATTAAAATTGCTCCTATTTGGCACATACAATATTTAATGTATCTTATTCCTTTACATTATCCAATTTGCTACATAAGAATAGCAGTTTTTAACATCTTAAAATTCTCCAAACCAACTCTTCCAAAAAGGGTTATCCTTAGAATTAATATTTACATTTAGGAATAGTTACTATCTTTACATTTAACATTCGCATTTAGGAGTAGTTGCTAGATGAAACACCATTTTAATCAATATTCAAAACTAAGGACTAATAGTAGTATACTAGAATTTGACTAAGGATAACTTTCCTCGCTTTCTCGTAGGATCGATATTCAGGACTTAATTAGAAATTCTTTTATTACTTGAAGCGATACGTGCACTTGCGTAGAACCCATAGTGTGTGAACTATTTGCTATATTTCATAATATTTCAATTTTGTATATTAGCTGCTAAATATAAATCGGGTCAAGTATTTGGCAATCTTTTGAAAGCTAAATTACTGCGTGATTACGAGTCGGGTCAAGTTATTGGCACCGTCTCAGAGGAATTGAATTGACATAAAACACGCAGAAAAACAACACACACAAGGGGCGTATCAAGTTTTTGGCGCCGTTGTCGGGGAAGCTTCGATAAGAACTTTAGGAGAATTTTAGTTGAAGTAATTAGGCTTAGATTTGAAAAATTATAGTGTCATAAAAACTATTTTTGCGTGTAAAGTTTTTTTTTGTATGAAAAAGTGTTGTGAAAAAACTGTTTGTGTCAAAAATAAGGTGTTTATGAAAATGTTTTGTTGTATTGAATATCTCTTTTATTTTATTTGGTTAATTGTTAATGTATTGTTTATTATGTTGCGTATGCGAAATAAGGATCTGCAGGACTTGTGCCTTATGATCCTATGTTAGAAAAAAGGAATGAAATAAAAAAATAGAAAAGACTTGAATAATTAGAAATGGAAATGGAAATCATTCAAAATAATAACTTGGAAAATCATCATAAATCTGCGAGTGATTATATAAATCCTACGATATATGAAATTCACTCTAGTATAAAAACTCCTATCTTAGAAGCTGACTCATTTGAAATAAATCTAGATATTATCCAACTGGCACAGAACAACCAGTTTGGGGGAACTTCTTCGAAGGATCCCTATTAACACTTATCCAGTTTTCTAGAATTTTGTGCTACATTTCGTTATAATGGCATGTCAGACGATGCTATTAGACTAAGGCTTTTTTCTTTCTCACTAAGGGATAAGGCTAAAATTTGGTTATACTCTTTAACACCTGGTTCTATTAAAAATTTGGAGTAGTTAACTCAGAAATTCCTAGAAAAGTATTTTCCACCTTTAATGACTACTAAACTTAGAAACAATATTATCTCATTTTGTTAGTATAAAGGGGAATAAATATACAAAGCTTTGGAAAGATTTAAGGAACTACTAAGAAATTGTCCACACCATGCTCTGCCCAATTGGTTAATCATTCAAACTTTTTACAATGCGTTAGTAGAATCCATTAAGTTTATAATTGATGCTGCTGCTGGTGGATCAGTAATGTCAAAACCATTTAATGAAGCATATGCGTTAATTGAATAAATGGTTACAAATGAATTTCAATGGCCCTCTACAAGGGTAAATCTAAAAAATATAGCCAGTGTTCATGATACAGATGAGATTGCAATTCTTGCATCTTAGGTTGTTGTAATATCAAGGAAGTTGGACCAATTTGGAATGAACCAGCCTTAATTTACTCTAGTAAGTGAGGAAAGTTCATTAGGGCATATGATTGATTCTAACTTATCATATGAAATTTTAAATACCATAAACAACTTGTATTCTAACTTTTACAATCCAGGTTGGAAGAGTCATCCTAATTTTAACTAGAATCACACTACTTGGGGTAGAAACCAACAGTGGAAAAATAATCATGCAAATCCTAATGGAAGTTGGAATAATCAAGGGAACACAAACTATAGACTTTCATATCCACCATACTCTAACCTCTAACAATGATCTAACAATGATCATCAATTTGAGGATAAGAAGATGTCTACAGAAGAAGTGGTATTACAAACGGAAAACCAGTTGCAAAGTCAAAATGCTGCAATTAGAGACATAGAGAATCAACTTGAACAAATTTCTAATTCACTTAGCAATAGACCCAAAGGAACAATTCCTAGTAGAACAGAGATCAACTCTAAAGAGAACAACAATGAACAAATAGAAGTTATCCAATTAAGAAGTGGAAGAGAGAAAAAGGATGTGGTCATAAAAGAGAAAGGAGTTGTGAGAGAAATAAGGAGAAATAAAAAACCCGAAGAGCATGTTTCTAAGCATCTGGAAGAATTAATATCTCTGACTAAAATTAATTTACAAAGACCACCACCTCCATTTCCTCAAAGACTTAGACAACATGAGTTGGATAAACAATTTTCAAAGTCAATTTTCAAAGTTCATGGACCATGGACATACTTAAGAAGTTAACGATAAATACTCCTTTCGCTGAAGCTTTAGAACATATACCAAGTTATGCAAAATTTATTAAGAAGATATTAAACAAGAAAAGGAAATTTGGGGATTATGAGACATTTGCATTAAGTTAGGAGCGCAGCGCTATATTTCAGAAAAAGCTTCCTAAGAAACTTAAAGATCCTTTAAGTTTAACAATTCCTTGTGTATTTGGAGAAAGATTATGTGGAAAAACTTTATGTCATTTAGGATCACATTTAGGATCAAGCATTAATTAGGATCAAGCATTAATGTGATGCCTCAATCAATATTTAGAAGGTTAGGTTTAGTCCTTCTTGCAGCTTCTCAGCATAATGATCTATCCAACGGCTACAAAGGTGATCGATCTAGCTTTTATCCAAAAGGGGTGATAGAAGACGTGCTTGTTAAAGTGGATAAATTTATCTTTCTTATGGACTTTATTGTAATAAATATGTAGGAAGATAAAGAAAATCCAATTATTTTGGGGAGACCTTTTCTTGTTACTGGACAAGCTATGATAGATGTGCAAAAAGGAGAGTTGACTATGAATATTAATGACCAGAAATTCACTTTTGATGTGTTAAAGGCTATGAAATATTCAGGTGAGAGAAAAGATGATGATTATTTTTGGATGGATGAAATTGATTATCTAAGTAAAGACCATTTCCAAAAAAGTTTTGAGAGTAAATTAACAGATCAGATAGAAATGGACTTTCATGATGAGTCTAAAATGTTGTTTAAAAAAGACTATATGTATTTTCTCGAGAGGTGTGAAATGATGGACATTACTGAAAATAGTAAACTTTTAATTCCATCTCTTGAAAAATCTCATGAACATAAAATGAATATACCTCGTACAATTTTAAAGCCTACCTATTTAGAGAATTCATCTACACCACCAATCTTTATATCTCCATTTTTGACTCACTCACAAGCTGAACCTGAATTGAATGATGAAATCAGTAAAAGATCTCCTCTGAAAGAGTTGTTCAAAATCACTTAATGGAATATTCAGTGGTATACAGACAAAATGAATGAGATTCTGATGCTTGGGTAGATTATTAATGCAATTAACAGTTACCCCCCAAAGATTTTACCTAGTGACCCTGAGATAAACCCTAAGCAGATGAATGATGAGTAATATGAAGTTTTCAGACAAATATTTAGAAAAGAATTTGAAGATATGTTTCAAAAGAACTTTGAGTTGATAATGAGGATAAGGAGATTGAAAGACCAATGGAAGAATTTCTTAAGGAATTAGAAAAACCTATTTCATTAACTAAGATAAATATAGAAAGACCACCTCCACCATTTACTCAGTACCAAGGGGAATAATTAGAAGATAACTTGAAGCAGAAGAGTAATCTATTAGAAGTTGATCCAGAATCTGAATTATCTAAAGAGAATTCAATCCAAAATTTGGGAGATCTTGAATTATCTTATAAAGATTCATTTCCTATAGATCCATTTCTTAAAAATTTTAAGAATGATATTATTATTGAGAAAATTAATAGAAGAATATTGGATCTAGAAGGAAATATAATGAATAATGCTATGAATCAATCTAAAAAGGAACTGTTGAAAGAAAAATTTAAATTAGAGGAATTTATAAGAATCCCTGGATCTGAAAAAGATTGGGCGATTGATCAAGGATTACTTAATTGGAATTTTGATCCAGGTAGAATCATTTGTCGGCAAGCGACGTTAAACCAAGCGCTTTATGGGAGACAACCCATAGTTATCTGTGTGGTCTGATTTAGTGTGCTTGAGAGTTATGATTCTTAGTGTTGTATTATGTTTATTTTAGTGTAGATTAATTAGTTTTATTGATTATTAGTAGATGTTTGGATTGTTAGTGGTTTGATTTGCTTTTTATGTGTCATGAGGAAAGTGATTTCTTAACTTTTTCTTATGGTTAGACTTGTATGTTCTCTTGGTATGTCTTGTATGTTCTCTTGTAGT